GGAGAACCAGTATTCTTCTTAATGTCAGAGATATGTTCGTATAATCTCGTACTTAATTTTCTTTTTGTCTGACCAACATAACTCGCTTCACAATCATCACAGAAGATCTTATACATTCTGATTGGATAGAAAATCTGGCTTATCTTTTCCTCTTTTTATAAAACTTTTTAATGTGTTAGGGATAGAAAAAGCTAGTTTACAATAGAACATACTGGAAATAGGGAGAAAACTTTCGGAAATAGATTTGACGTAAGGAATCGTAAAATATTTGTCTTTAACTTACGTGTAAATTACGTGTAATATATTTATTATGTATATGAAACTTTAATCTTTATTCGATTGTAGAGAAGATAAATGAGAGAGGATAACAATTATTTAAAAAAGTATGAATAGCATCTATCAGATTTTTTTGTTGGAACCGGATGTGATAAGAGGATAATTTTGTCTATGAAGCTGATAATAGTGCCTTTTTTATGGCAAAGAGGATGATTTGAATGGAAATTAAGGAACCTTCCCGAAAACGTCTTTTTATGATAAATGTCAAATATAATTCTCTGATTATGTATAACAAGCATAATATCAAGAAAACTCAATCTGCCAACCTCTAAAGTAAACTGCAATCTCGTATGTAAAGAATTAAAAATATTTAAAGCGTCATTGATAGTATCAGATGGAAGTGCAAGAATGACATCATCAATATATCTAAAATAAAACAATGGTTGTACTAACAATTGTTTTATTGCTTCTATTTCTTCTAGCTCTTGCATTACAATATACGAAGCCAAAATAAATTCAGAATTAAAAACAGTACCATTTAAATGCTCAACCAAATGGAAACAGTCTTTAATGTGACTAGGAGCTTTTGGTATGCTATCATTAATTATATTATGTAAAAAAAGAGAAAGATAATATAATGGACTATTAACAGAGGATACAATCGCTCTCAATGAGTTGCCGTCTTTATGTATTTTGGTCAAATCGTAAGCTCTAGGTATAACACCATCAGTTGTAAGCAATCTCCGATATATTTGTTCGTCAATAAACCGATCACGCTTCCATCTCACCAGCAATGTACGTAAGTCCTTAGTCAATTTTTTAATTGGATCTTTATTAACAATTACATAAGTATTAGTGTCTGAAAGAATCTCCTCCATTTTCGATACATAGGTCTTTGTCAAGAGCAACAGTAACACTTCCCTTATCAGTGTTTGTAATAAGTACATTACGTATTACAAAGTGAGATCACAAAGTGAGTTTGTTCAATGTATGCTCCATCGGAAGCGATAATTTTCTCCCATCTTTCAGATAATAAACGGATTCGTTGAAGGAAAAAATCTAGTTCTTTTGAAGCGATCCATTCATCAAGCCATTTTTTAATACCTTCATAACAATTGAATCGCTCTCTAGAATGACCGACTGCATGAACCGAAACAAATCAGAAGGAGCAATGTCGGGTGAATATGGCGGGTGAGGTAGAATTTCTCTCTTCATTCCTTCCAAGTATTTCTTGAACCGATTTTGCAACGTGTGACCTAGCTTTATTATGTAGCAGAATCAGCTTATCGTGCCTATTGTCCCATTCCATTTTTGTTTCAAAACTTAGTTCAAACAAATTCAAGCTTTAAACGAATACTAACTACTGGGCTCAAAAGCTTGAACACACACCTTTCAAGTACATGTATTGCCGTTTTATCAAACACACAAGCAGTGCTACTAACGATATCTCTCTAATAAGTGGAAACTTATTTCCATATCTAACATATATAATATAAATTATATATATAAAATTATATATATCATATTTATATTATATATAAAATATTTTTTCCCAGGAATTTCAAAAAAGTCAAATTAGCTCTGTAAAAAATTTTGTAAATAATAAATATGTATAAATATGTATAAACATACATAAATATAACACGTATAAATATTCATAAACATATACAATTATATATGAAATATGTTCATACATGAAAATATAAAAAATAATTAAAGGAATCATTTTTGTGTTGTCCGTTTTAGAAAAAAAAATTTGGAAAAATGTAAAAGAATTGCACAATTATGCTTAATTATATAATAATATATAATTATACATAAGTAATTTTTTACACTTTTCCAAACTTGTTTTTTCCAAAATAAATAAAATGAAAATTATTTTTTTAATCATTTTTAATGTTTTTATGTTATTATTATTCCTATTATACTAAATAGTATCTCGGTAAAAAATTTTGGCTAATATGTCGAATAAGGAAGTCAGCTTCGATGACCTTGTTCTTGACATATGTTGTCAAGGTTCATGACACTGAGTGATCTCTATCAGGTTTTAGTTCGCTCGTTGTTCATTAAAGAGTATTAACAAAAGATGTTTGAAAAATAATATCTCTACTACATAAAATAGAAATTTTCTGCTTTAAAGTATATCTTATAATTTTCCATGCGAATCGACTCTCATCCTACTTCCTTCTCTTAGGAACGCACGATTTCCATGCAGGAAATGACTCCTATTCCACCTTCTCCTTGCTTAGAGATACACGACTTTCACGTCAAGCGACTTTCATCCCACCTCCCCTTTGTCAAGAAGCACACGAATTCCACGCGAAGCAAGTTCCTTCCATCTCACTAAGTTACTCGATAAATTGTTTGTTTTAAAAGTACAATACAACAATTATATAAGAAAATATTTTGCGTTGTTAAAGCTGGGAATTTGTTTCATGGGCGCAGTTGTGTCCAAAAGTTAGGTTTTATTGGTGAACTTTTTTGTTATAATAATAACTTTTTAACGAATAACAAATGACGACTCAAATCTGGTGAAGGTCACTCGAGGTTATGACTTTAACAACATATGTCAAGATCAAGGTCAGCTGTTTTTCCTATTCGACATATTTATCAAAATTTTTTATACATCAATATGTATAAATATGTATAACATACTTAAACACACATAAGTATTCATAATCATATATAATTATACATTCTGTCAAAAAAGTATCGGGAATTGGTCAATAAAACACAAAATAGTTATTATTCATTCAAATTTATTGTATCGCCTTCAAAGTAGGCTCCTTTCGAAATAATACATTTATGCCAACGAATAATCCAATCATCAAAACATTTTTTAAACGCATTTTCGGAATCGACTTCAGTTCTCGCTGCGAATTCTCTTTTATGTCTTCTATCGACTGAAAACGAGTGCCTCGAAGTGGTAATTTGAGTTTTGGAAAGAGAAAAAAGTCAGTCGGAGCCATATCTGGTGAATACGGTGGTTGTTCGATGATATTTGTTGAGTTTTTGGTCAGAAATTCGTTCACAATGATAGTCTTGTGAGATGGTGCGTTATCATGGTGCAAAATCCATGAGTTTGTTTTCCACAAATCTGGCCTTTTTCGACGAATTTGCTCTCTCAAACGCCGCATAACGCCCAGATAATATTCTTTATTATCTCTCCCAAACTGAAATGACGATTTTCAATCACCATTTCCTTCACTTTATCGATGTTAACTTCAGTTGAAGATGTTGATGGCCGACCAGAGCGAGTGTGCGACTTTGACGTAGTTTTTTTCGGTTTTGGCTCAGTTGGAAGGCGCCATTCCGAAGCTTGTTGACTGGTTTGCATATCAAACTCGTAAACCCATGTCTCATCACCAGTTATAATGCGTTTTATGAATGTGGGGTCGGAATTAACTCGTTCTAACATGTCTTCAGCGACCTTTACGCGATTGAGTTTTTGAAGAAAATTGAGGTCTTTCGGAACTAGTCGAGCGGCAACGCGTTTCATGCCCAAACAATCACGTAAAATGGTACGAATTGATTCGTGAGACACCGTAAGTTCAGCGGCTATCTCTCTCAAACTGAAATGACGATTTTCAATCACCATTTCCTTCACTTTATCGATGTTAACTTCAGTTGAAGATGTTGATGGCCGACCAGAGCGAGGCAAATCTTTCACCACATCTCGACCGCTTTTCAATGCACTGTACCATTCATATGCACGTGTTTTTGATAAAGTCGATTCACCGTAAGCCTTCTGTAACATCTTCAGCGATTCGGCACACGAAATTCCATTTGCAATACAAAATTTGAGACAAATTCTTTGTTCAATCTTTTCATTCATTGTAAAAATCGCAAAACACACTTGAGATGAACTGATAAAATCGAGCACTATAATCACATTAAATGACAGATGGTACTCCAACTCCGCGTCAGTATAGAGGACAGTTATGCCAACTTAGCGACAAAAAGAATTTTGACAATTCCTTTAAGCGGGCTTTTTAAATGATCAATTCCCGGTACTTTTTTGACAGAATGTATATGAAATATATCCATACATCTTTTTACTTTTGTAAAATTACTTTTTAGTGTACTAAAAATAATAATAATATTGAGAAAATATAACAAATAGTTAATGGAATAATTTTTACGTTGTTTGTTTTATAAAAAATCAAGTTTGGAAAAAAATTGCTTATACATAACTATATGTATAATTTTACATGCAATTATATATAAGCAATTCTTTTGCATCTCTCCAAACTTAATTTTTTCTAAAACAAATATTGTGAAAATTTTCTTTTTAATTATTTTTGACATTCTCTGATTATTATTATTATTTTTATTATACTAAAAAGTAATTTTACAAATAGAAGAAGGATGTATCAGGAATCACGTATTTCTGGCTATGTTAAAAAAAAAAAATAAAAGACGTAAAACCACAAGTCTCTTATCCCGAGCCACCAAAGTCCATTTTTTGGGGGTACAAAACTACTAAAATATAAAAAATTTTGAATCGTAACACAATGCCTGAAAGGCAGCATCGCCATGAGCAATTTGAGCTAAAAGAAATAAAAATCGGTCAAACCGATTTCATACAGAAAAGTGAAGATTTTCGTGAAAAATGAAGTAACTTCTTCTTCTTCTTCTTCTTCCTCTTCCTCTTCTTCCTCTTCCTCTTTTTCCTCTTCTTCTTCTTTCTCTTCTTCCTTTTCCTCCTCTTCCTCTTCTTCTTCTTCTTTCTCTTCTTCTATTTCTTCTTCATCTTCTCCGCAGTCACATGCACTTCTCTTCTCTTTTACCTTTTACTTACACTTTCCCCAACTTCGATCCACTCCACCCCCTCCCCCCACTATTCACCCCACCACCCTTCTCTTTTTCGTCCTATCTCATTTTCTCTCGTCCTCTCTTACCTTCGTTTGCTGAAAGTGTCCGATGGTCATTCAGGGTTGTGACAATATGAGTCATTAAAATTTTTTTGGATAGCTTTGTAATGCGTCATGAGTAACTGCTATATTCTTTCGAAGATTGTTCGATGTGCTGGCCTTAATAATGTTTGGGAGGGTCAGGGTCAGCGGAAGTGAATTGTCCTTTGATAGTCACTAAGGGTCATTACCTTGACTATATATGTCACGATCAGCGTCATTATAAAGTTGAATTCTCTATTTTATTTTTAATAATTTCCTAACGTGAGATAGGTGACTGCTTAATCTTCCGAAGGTCACCTATCTCACGTTACGAAATGTAATGGGAAGGCAAATATCGTATGCCGCAAATCTATGTTAATAAGTAATAAATCCAGATTCAAAAAAGGAATAAAATTAAGTAAAAGTTACCGAAATATGAAAAGGCTATTCAAAGTTTGCATATAATTATAAAGAACTAAGACAAATTAAAAATAACAAACGGCATTTCGAGCCCAAATGAGTTATTCTCAATGTTATAATTACAAAGTGACAAGTATATATATATATTTAAAATAGAACCAGGTTTTAAACTGGTCAATAAAGAGATAAAAATATATGTACAGACTTATATGTAGTGGATGTATACTGATGGTCATTATCGCAACCATTATACAGCTGATTATTGTGCTGACATTATACATTACGTTCCAGTTGATGTAGCACGTGTCATTATGAATGTATACTTAAAATAAAAAATAGGTCCCACTATCGCCCATTCTTGTGAGAACGTAACCATATTTTCTTCGTCTCTCTGATTTTAACACAATCTTTAATATTTATTTCGATTGCAACAGAATGAATTTTTAATGTTGTATTATATGAATATATTTTTTTTATTTGCGAGGAGAAAAATCTTCATATAGCTCTCCGGGATGCTCCTGAAGGAGAATCTAATTGGATGAGGGGAAGATTTTTTCAATCGGATGAAGGGAAGATTCGTTTTCAATCGGATGAAGCGAAGGACGGTGAGTTCTTTTACTGATCATAAATTTTATCATTTGTTTTGGTGAGAACATAATCAATACTAAAAATTCAAAATGCTTATACTGGTCAAAGATCTTTAATTACACATGTACTATATATACATACTAGCATATATATCATATTTGTAGTCCTTCAAACTGCGCGTCGAATTGATTTTCTGGACTTATAAACGCAATTAAGGGGGGAAATTCATTTAGGCGAATGAAAACGAGGCAATCTTCGTGAATTTTTTTTTAAAGAAAGGATTACTCGATTATTTTGAAAACTTAAGAGTTTATTGTTACTTTCTACATTAACAATGTTTTTTTTTAGAAAAAATTAAAAAATGGCGGAGTTATAGTACAGTCTATGCCGAAGGTCGCGAAGTGAATTGTCAAATGACGGGATTTCTCCAATTTTTTGTAGTGGTCTGAAACAAAAACGCAAGAGATATTGTTATTAACATTCATAATTTCTTATTGAATCTAAAAAAAGTGAAAAAATTTGAAAATTGAAGAAATTACAAGCTTGTGAAAAAAAAAGAAATTTTTAGCAAAATTTTTGTTCAATTTTGCTCTGAAAAAGTACTTTAAAACAATTATTTTGTGATACTTTTAGGTTTAATTAGGAATTATAAGTATTATTAAAATGTGTTCCAAATTTCAAAGTAATTAGTGCAATAGTTTTTGAATGAGATTTCCCGCCAATTTTAAAAAAAGAGTTTTGAGAAAAATGAGTTTAAAATTTTAAGAAGTAGAAAGGTAATGTTTTCATTAACTTACTGGCTAGTTAGCAATTCCAGGCCCATACAATAATCCTGCTTCTTTATAAAACTCATTTTGCTGCAAAAGTTCCTTTTGGGCTATACGAGTCTTTTTAGTGCTATCCAAACTGCCGCCGTCTTGTCTGTTTTTGTAGTAATGTACATATATTCTATAATGTTGTTGTACGAACTTTCAGATAATCCGTCGTAAATATTCATAAGATTACAGAATAAATTAATCCCTTCCCTGCCAAAATCTAACTTGAATCCAAGGCCTCGATTATTCCTTTCCAATTTCCTCAAACTTCACTTTTTTTTTACACTCAGAACAAATTACGAGATCTGAGAGAGCCCTGAATACAGTAAAAAATTCAATCAATCTATAAGCGTGCAATGGATTCCAAACAATCACTGCTGGTGCTACTGAGTTTTCTTGCACTTGCTTCAATTGTTTTGCCTTGCTTATTCGTGAATTGATTACAGTGGAAATGTCTTTTACGTGGTTTCGATATTTCGGGAAGATATTTCTTTGCTTCTTTTAGGATATGATTGCATTTTAAATTGTCAAAAATGATCCGTATACACCGAATTCTGAGACTAAACTGACTACAACTGGCTTGAAACGCTCATTTGTAAAGGCAATGGAAATATTTTTTCTATTATGTATAAAAGTCTTTTCATTCGAAATGTTACACATATACCTTTGCCAGAACATCTGCTTTAATCGAAATAACAGTTCAAAGATTTAAAAAGAGAGAATTACAAAAAACACGTCTCCTTACTCCGAGCGCTCGAATATGTCTGCAGCGCGCTGCGACGCAGAGCGGAGATGAGTCACAAACTTTAACTTCGAAAATACTTGGAATTTTGCTCTAAAATTTCGGGTACGTATTTTTAAGATATGGTACTTTTACTTTATGAAATAAAATAATTTCACATTTTTTTGAAAGTTCTAAATGAATTTCCCCCCTTAAATTACTAGAATAACGAATTAAATTAAATTAACAAATAATTCTTAATAATTTTATCTCATTATTCTAATGTAATACTTTTCGTACTTTAAGTGTTGTAATAATTACTCTGTAAAAGCTTTGACATTATTACTAAGTGGACACCGAGAAAGTCGTCAAAGTTTTTTGAGAATAGAAATTACATGCCTCTTCTGTACAGTAGTTTTGAATAGATGAATCAAGCAATCAAAATAATATATTAAAATAGAATTTATTTATTATCAAATAAATCATCAATTCGGTATGTCTCTTAAAAATTTTTGCTTTTATCTACTATAAATAAATCCTACTTATTTATAAACTAACGTCAAATATTGCAAGAAATAAATTTATATAAAAAAATCACAATCGAAAATTTGGAGGTCAAGCTAGTTCTTTCATCTTAATTTTTTCAAAAAGTTATATAAATAGGACCTCGTTAAATATTTATCATTTTTTAATAATCTTGCCTTAATATTATTATGCACAAAATGATAATCTCCACTAAAAATCGAACTAATATACTATTCAAACTAAACAATTTTTGTGTGAAACATTTTCCTTATGCATGCATGAAATAAGCAGCTTTTAGAAGGTATGTTCTATCTGCGACAGCTATAAGCAATAAAGGTGATTCAAAACAAACTTCTGTCCTTAAAATGTCGAGTTAATTCTGAAACAATTTTTTTTCTTCGAATTCTTTTGTCCAATGTTTAATTTTTGAATTATTAAAAGAAATAGTTAGCGAATCACAGGTCAAATACAAGAAGTAGACAGAGACGATGCAACTCACCGTCAGATGCGGGTACTACGCGAGACGATTGCTATGATCAACTTGATGGTTTCACATAATAATACCCCCATACACATTTTTGAAAAAGAAATATCGTCAAATTAGTAATGCAAGATTCTCTCTCTCTCTTTCTCTCTCTCTCTCTCATTCACTCACTCGCTCACTCATTCACTCACTCTCTCACTCGCTCACTCACTCACTCATTCACTCAGACACCCTTTTATTTTTCATGTCAAAATGATTTAATAATTCCAAATTTCTATAAGAAAAGCCGGAATTCCGATGAACTTTTCGATAGAATTCCAAACAGTGAACTTCCAAACAATTAAGTGTTTCTTTTAATAAATTTAAATAATCACGCACAACACTAATTGTATTCCTACTCGATCCATTATTCACTCGTTTAAGAAAATGAGAAATTTATTAATGAAATTGAATTAATCACTATCAATTACTGCCGATTAATTATTTGATAGCGGCCGAAAATCGTGCGAAGAAACACATGTTCTTGTCACACAATACATTTACAAAGAAACGTACGTACATAACATGCATTTACCCGACGATAGCAAGCAGTCGACTTTACTAACAAATCTATTAATTAATTACTATCGATCACTATCGATTAATTGTTTGGTGATCAAAAATCGTGTATAAAAATAAACATTACTATTATACAATACACGTTACTCGATGATGGCAATCAGTCGACTGATTTTACTAATAAATCTATTAATTAATCACTATCGATCACTGTCGATTAATTGTTTGGTGATGAAAAACCGCGTTATAAAAACACTTGTTATTATTATACAATACGCGTTACTCGACATGGAAAACAGTGGCAAGTAGTCGCGCACTGATTTTATTGGTTATGGTTGAATGCACGAAAATTCACATGATCATAGTGTAATCTGACTTATCGACTTAATACATTAATTTTATATTACGGGTTAATAAGATAAATTATTACGACCAAGAAAGATTCTTCATAACTGAAGTATCGCTGTTTAATGTAAACGCGTGATTAATTGAAGCATCACAAAAATTCAGAATGTAACAATTCCAATTGCAAGTGATGAAAGATTAACGATGAAATAATATTGCATGTTACGATTTTTGCAGAGTTAATATTTCCCGCACGTTTCTCTCATTCTTTTTTCTTTTCACTTTGCCTTACGAAAAATATTGCAGGTAGAAATGTATTAATCGTCCTAAAAAGGACGATTGCTTTCGATCATTCAGAAAAGAACAAATTGTTTTGAACGCTCTGAAAAGAGCGAATTGCTTTAGACGCTCTGAAAAGGAAGAAGAAAAAATTTTATAAAATATTCAAAATGACCATCATTCATCATAATGTAAGCTTGCATGCCTCTCAACAAATTTCTTAGTACATTTTCCATAACATCCTCTTCGATAGCCCATACGGCATATCGCAATCTTGTTTCTAGATCTTCTGCGTCTTCAGAAAGCATTTTATAAGTTAACTGCTACTTTGCAGTAGCTCCAGAAAAAGAAATTCAGAGGATTGAGATCTGGAGATTTTGCGGGCCAACGTATTAGCCTGTACCGTCTCATTCACCGCCTCGGAAACTGTTCGTTCAAATAAGCCGTCACAATTCTGGTCCAGCGCCGTCTTGCTGAAAAATTAGTTTGTTCTTCTCTAGTAGTAATAATATATCTTCTAAAAAATCTGGCAAATTATTTCTTGGTTCGACGTATGTTACTCCGTTTAAAATATCTGAGAGAATAACGGGATCTAATATTTCAGTTCTCATATGTTATGTGACTATATTTGTTCATATATCTTTATTATTTACTTAATAATATTTAAACCGTACCAATCTAAACATGTCTTGCGTTGTTTGTTTCATGGATAACGTTTTTATAACATTATTATCACGGTTTTTAGTTGTGAAAATTAAATGACAAGTTCAATTTAACAGCACATTAACTACATACACAGAGCGACATTTATAATATTTTTTTAATATAGGTGTACAAAAAAGTTCTGAGCTTTAGATTTGATACAACCGAAATAACAATTTAAATTTTATATATCTTCCCGTCCTTTTGCGGTTTTAAAGCGTTAACATTTGGCCTTCTAAAATGCCATACGGTTTGGCGTTTGATGCACATAACCTCAAAAATCAGTAGTGTTCACGATGGCAATAACAAAAGAGCATATTCGATTTTCCATCCACTTCGCGTTTCATCTGAAGAAAAATGCTGCTGAAGC